GCATAAAAACAATTTCCCCACAGGGACAATAAAGTATCTATTATTATTGATAAAGCAAACATGTTTGGCACAGCAGTGCATTCAGACCATGATTCTGCTTGCTAAAGCTGCCAGACAGGACAGGATGAAATAAAAAATAAAAAAAAAAACTAATAACTGCAGGAAAACAAACTAGATTGCAGGGGATCAAACAAAAGGAAGGGCAAACAGTAACCAGGGCACATGGGAGCAACAACATTAATGTCAGGATGAGGGAGCACAGGTCTGGGAAGCACCTGTATACAGATCTAGCCTAACAAGGGGGCAGAACGAGAGGCAGCTGGAGTACATTACACAAGAGCAGGACATAACACTGCTCTATATTGCAGAAATGCATAAAACTTAAATAGATAATCCCAATAAGATCTATTTTCATGTGATATTTTAAAATGAAGTAATTATTTTTATGAGTACACTTGCATCCACTCTCAGTGGATAAAATATGTAATATTTCTCATTCTTTTGTGGTTACACTGACATTTTCAGGTGCATTCAGTCTTACCTTTTGTCATGCCCCGATCGTCCGCTCCTCTCATGTGCCACGCCCCCTCGTTAACCTCATGTGGAATCCCAGTGTGTTACAGCTGTTTCTGATTGTTGTCATTAGTTCATTGTATTTAGTCCGCGTTTCCGTTTGTTTCCCGAGTCCGGTCATTGACGTTGTGACGTTGTTTCGTTGCGTGCTGCCATTAAAACCCTTGTTCCTGATCCCTGGAATCCTGCCCTGTTTATCTGTGCTCCGGGCGCGTACACGATCCATAACACCTTTTGTAAAAAAAATGGTGCCAATGTCATTTCAAATGACATGAAATGAACATGAATACAAATGTACATACTGTAGCTGCACTTATGCCTAGTTGGCTCTGCGACAGCATGTATGTTTGCAAAGTGATATTTGTACAACTTACACTTCACTTTGGACAGAAGTGTCTGTTTAATATGTACATGTAAATTTACTCTGAGTTCATAGTGGATTTTTTTTTCTGAAACCTTTATTATTTATGGTTCTCTTGACAAAAACAAATACATTCAAATAATTACATTTTGACAGTTGCTGCCATTTAAACATATTTCTGTTAATAACTTTGTATTTTCACATAGTTACAAACAACTTCAAAAAGGGCATGAAATTGTTGCCACATGGTCACACACATCCTGCCCGCAGCTGAAAGCATACGGCTTCTCTTAAAGACACGTCTCACTTCCTGTTATTCACCAACACATTTAAACTACATTTGATGTCATGCAACCGAGTCAGATCCACGTTTTTTTTTACCTGCCTGACAGGTAGCTGGGAGGAAGCAAAAACACAGACCGGCTGGGGGTATCCAAGAACCGTGTTACGAAACTACTCAGACTCCAGAGCATAAGACTAACATACTGTAGAGTATCTTTGAAGAAAATCATGGGAAATTTATTGTATGGACCTAAATCATCATTCCTCATTCAGATGTACAATAGTAATTTTTGCCACATTTGTTCTTAAGATTTTTTGAATCCTCATTTGATAAGAACATATAATAAGTTAGCCAGCAACCACAGCTTAAAAAGCTACAACGGACAATTGGATTACAATAAGTGTATAAAGAAAAAAAACAATGTATTATTTGGGTGGGGGGTAGATAATGTATATCACAAAGCTGCAGAATGTTTTCGATGCAGCAGCCCTACATGAAGAGGGTAAAAAAACGTATTATGGAGAAAGGCTGAGCCATATTAATAAATGATATGACAGCCCTTTTAAAATAAATGTTACTGTCTTTATTAAGACCCACTAACTGTTTAATACTAGCAGCAGCACAACCAGGAAAGCCAACAATTTACACGACACTCAGGGATACAGGCTAAACACGTATTACCAGGGTTGCCAGGTCTCACACATCTGGCGTGACGCTCATGCTTTTTCACTCTTACGCAAAAAAATGTATGATAATTTTGTATTACGGTAATACAAACACTCTTTACAAAATATTGTATTTGGCGCCATCTATTCACTTTTTTTGTCTAGGCCTGAAATATAAGACGACACCACTTTTTCAGACATATTTTGAGGGAAAAAAACATCATATATGGATCAAACAGTATTTACATAAAAAATTCAGATTACAGTAGCATTAATACATCCTTCGATTGTTGACTTAGGATTGTTGTACGAGGCAGGCTATACAAGGTATACAAGTGCAATTAACAGCATTATGCATCTTTTATTGAACCGTAAATCATCTGTGCTGCTTTACAATTCGGACTTCGTTGTAAACAATGTCTTAATTAACTGGTGTTGGTAAGAAACTGGGATCTTCTGTCATGAATTCGAAAAAACAAAATACAAGGAATGTTCCCTGAAGCATTTTGAAATTATCACAAACACACATGCATGTGCGCGCACGCACACACACACACACAGATGTATATATTCATGTCTTTGTGGGGACCATCAATTCATTTCTATGAGCAAAACCCTAATCCCAACTGTAACAACCTTAACCCCTACCCAGCCCTAACCTTAACCATAAGTAACCAAACAAAATACAATGGTTGGCATTTTTTGCTTTTTGGTTGCCATTACAGACTTTTATAAAATCCCCAAAAAATGTCCCACTAGGTCAAAATAACAGATTTTGGTACCACTTTATAATAAGGCTCCCTTTTGCCACTTACAGTATAAATGGTAGGAACTCAGTAATAAAAAGAAAACAGTATCATGACTTTTAAAATTGTCTATTAATAAAGTGTTAGAACATGATTAATAACCAGATTATAAACCATTATTGTAAAGTGGCACCCAGATTTTTATGTAATATATACATGACCACACACACACACACACACACACACACACACACAGGCCTGAAATTAATGCCAGAGCCTGGCCCGTATCTGACAGTTTGAGACCGAATCTGACCTGGCACAAATAGTACTAGCATATCTAACACCCAATCCCGTGTAGTAGCATTAGTCATACAGGTATACAGAGACATTTGCGAGCATTTGCCGTGTTTCTTCCATTGCTGGGCGGATGCTTGTCAGGTGGCTGATAAACGAGAGAGGGGGGGGCGGAAGGTGGGGGACGGGTGTGGGGGTGCTATGGAAAGCGCAAAAGGGCAAAGGACCCGGCAAGTGCAGACTGTACATTTTCTTAAAGCTCATGAACAAAAATTAACCAGAACCCAACCAAATATATGAAAATCCTACTTAAGCTGTATTTCTTGTGCCATCTTAGAAAGCAGAATGAAATCCCAGCTACTGATGCAAGACATAGACACCGATCAGAGCATCAACATACCAGCTTTTCCCTGTGTGCCGTGAGATTCTGTTATTTTTTTCAGGCACAAAACCAAAAGTGATTTATCAGTGCTCAACAATATTTTCAGAAATGTCTTTATAACCTGTTTATAAACTTGGACAAGCTTCTGCAAAACACACAAGTGCTTAGATTTATAAATGATCAAGAAATCTTTTTTCAAAAAAATGATTACCAGTCAGAATTAAATAGTTTTACCTTAGATGTGTTTGTCAATGGTTCAGTTGAAGCCACTTATAGTGATCACGTCTGTCTGGGTGAAATTTATCACTATAAGCAGATGATCCAACCATCACCATCACCATTTAATCCCAACTAGGGTCACCGGAGCCTATCCTGGGAACAATGTGATGTGGGCAGTCGCCAACACACCACAGGGCACACGCACACACAACTTAGACTCATCAATCAACCTGCCCTGCACACTTTTGGACCGTGGGCGGAAACCGGAGCCCCCAGCTGAAACCCACGTGAACACAGGGAGAGCGTGCGAACTTCACACAGAAAGGAGCCAGGACCAAACTCTGGCCCTTCTTGCTGTGAGGCAGCAGCAGCGCTAACCACTGCGCTACTGTGCCGCCCCAGATGATCATTATAACTGATTTTTTTCTTCTTTGTATCAGACAGATTACCATCTGACATATGTATATTTATTATAGGAAAATAAGGTAATAAAATGGAGAGCTTCGCTATTTATGTAATTTTTATTGACTTGATTTATTTATTTTATTTATTTCAAAATACAGTACAGCTGTTTCAAATGCTTTTCAAATAACGGTACTGTACAAATTAAATTACTGAACTGTGAATAATTCAAATATGTTATAGTACAGTACAGTATTGTACATAAATATTCAGTTAAATTTTATTTACATGTTGCATTTTCACAACATTAAATTGTCTCAAAACGCTTATACTGTAGTAGTTTCGCTCCTGCATCTCAGTGGCTCATTTTTGGCGGTTTATCATAAGCTTTGATGAATCTATATTTGTCATTGAGAGAGAATAACATTCTTTTTCCCGTCATGTTTTCTGTGCACACAGCATTAGCCTCAGGTAGCTAGCCAGCAGCAGATGGGTTACCGCAAGGCAAAGTAGGGCTATCAAAGTAAAAAAAAAAGAATAACCGCTGTCTTACTTTTTCAATATGTTGTCCTGTTTAAAAAGATCAAAAATTAGCACTGGAAGCAGACTACTTGATTACTATAAGCAAATGATTTAAACGGTATTTGTACAGGAATGATTCTGTCCCAAGCTTTTTGATCCATATAAGCAGTTGATCACTATAACCATGATCACTGTAAGTGGTTTTCACTGTATTAATAAAATACTTTAAAAATATATGAGTCGTCCATATGTCATACCTGTGGTATCTACACATTATGGCTCTGTTACTGCACTTTTATCAGAAGCATATACTCTATTTTTGCACTGTTTAGTATTATCTCTAGTTTTCTTGTAACCAAGTGTAGCAAACAGACAAGCATTCCTGTTGCACATGGCCCATAAAGATGTTTAATAATCAATCTTGTTTAGGACTCTTTGACATGTTCACTCTGAATACTGCAGCTCTTCCAGATATTGTCTTTACATAATTATATGTGCACATTAATATCAATGGCCTGGGAGGAATCCAATCATTTATATGTGGAACAACCACTGTCATTACCAGCTTTAATCATATCAGTGTAACAATGTTCATATTCAGAGACAAAGCTGCAGACCCCACAGTCCCTATAAGCCCAGAAAGGCTGGACCGCTGCTCAACTGACACTTGGTTTCACTTCCTTTATCTATACATATACCAACTTTCTGCATAAAGTCTGTATTGAATTAGTTTTAAAAGTATTCAAATAATAGCTCAGCTTAACACAGACCTAATACACATATCCATTGTTCAGTATTGTATGGCTCTGGAGCACATCCCAAAAATCCTGGATTACCAGCAAGATATACAAGACGGTATAATCAGCTGAACACTGTGATTCTGTAGTTGAACTAAAGTTAGTTGAATCATCTGCGCTGCTTTGCAACTCTGACTTCACTGTAAACAATATCCTCATTAACTGGCGTTGGTGAGACACTGGAATTTTCTGATTTGGTGCCTAAAAGACAAAATGAAAGCTCTAGCTAAAATATACCCCGACGGGAAATGTATAGATT